AGTTTGAATTGTAATGAGTTGTTTTACTAAGAAATCTTTTTTATTCAACTTATTTTCATATCATGGTTTGAAACCATCAAACTCAACATATCTAATTATACTCACTAATTATTTAACACTTTCTATATTTTCTATACAAGCATGGCCATATATATACCTATAAATTTTAGGGATTTCAATAAACCTTTTAGATAAATCTCATTCTATCATTTATTTATTTTAAAGGTAAAATATATTAATATTGATTAATTTAAACATAAGATGTTTATAGAATAGATAAAAAAACAACTCAAATAACATTTCTCCTAAGAAGTTCTCCACATCTCAAAGACAAAGACACCAAACAATTGCTTGTTCAATGATTCAAACCTAAAGAAAGATTGGTCTCAATTCTATCATTTGTTTATAGTGTTGCAAGTTGCAACTTTTAAAGTAAAGGCAATTAGGAATTAGGAATGATGTCAAGCCCAAAAATATACATATGATAACATAATTAAACACTAGTAGAACTGCATAGAATATTTGTGATTGTGTTGAACGGGTGTACTTAATTTCCTTTACTTAATTAGAGAATTTTAAATATTTTATTTAGAAATTTAAAATTTTGAAATCAATTCATTGCTCTACAGAATATAAATACGAAATTACTCTTTATATTTTTGTTAACTTTGCAAATTAATTTTTATATATTTTAAGAATCAATTGGTGAGAAACCAACAAAACAATTCTTCAAAAATATTTCTCTTTTGGCCAAATGTTATGTTATAAAAGGGTGGTTTTTGTTGATTTGGAAATACATAACAATTACGAATATTACTTTCTCTTTTATCATTATCTTGTTCTAAAATTTTTCATACAGTCAAAATATTATTTTAATGAAGAGAGAGCAAACACTAGTAAAACTTATTTTGTGCAACCAGTGTTTTATTCTTCAGATATGTAATTGTAAAACAAGAGAGAATTATTATTTCGACTCTAATAAATTATAAATGTTGCAAGATAAATTTGGAACAAAATTTTGGTATAAAAAAGTTGTAAGCTAATTCCGTATTAAAAGTTTTATGATAGTGAAAATATCAAGAAGATATTCTCATGAATATAGGTCTTATAATTTTTGATCGAACCATGATAAAATTATGTGTTTTCTTCTCTAATGTCTCAACTCTTTATTTTAGTTTACTTAATTATTTGTCATTCTCTTCTTCTCTAAAAACTGATTTAATTTTTCAAGTTTTTAAAAACTGTTTATATCACAATTCACCCTATTTTGTTTGAAGTCAATTATGTAACATGTTTCTCTCTTACCCATTTATACACCAGAACATCAATTAATCGATGTGTCGATCTTCCCTCATGAGGATCAGTCAATAAATTCACATGCCCTCTTTCTTCACATATACTCAAAACTTATAAAATACATCAAAAAGAACATCCTTAACAAAGTCATGTGGTATTTGAAGTTTGAAAGCTCCCTACGATGAACTGTGTGTTCCCTAAGGTATTCAAACATGCCTTACGAAAAATAGTGCAAACCTCGTCAATAGAAAATAAGGGGACTGTAAAGTTGTATCTCAATGTCAAACTTCAAATACCACATGAGTGATGTTGCTTGCAAACACCCAAAAACTACTTTTTGTCTCGAGATCATGTTAAACTTTACTTATATATCCTGCACCCTTTTAGTAAAAAGGACACTCGCCAAAATATGTTGGGCTTTAGGAGGACAATGTTCTTACTAGTAAAATTGTTAAGGTCAAAATCTATAGTTGTACCACTAAGACCATCCAAAGCACTGTTAAAATTAGATTCCATACCATATATTGTGTTGTCTCTCAATAAATATTCTTGTAACACCCATGATTAGGCTTTGGAAGCCACGAAAAATACGACACAACCTCTACTTTCGAGTATAAATTTAATCCTTAAACTCTAATAGGCAAAGAAAACATTCTTCATTAAAGGTCCCAAAAAAAATGACCTTTATCAACCATGATGTCTTCATATGCACTTTGAAACTCTTTATCAAACTAAATAGTTGCTTCCTCTATTTGAACCAATTGACACGTTCTTAGGCCAAAATAAGTTTGACAATACTCGTGCAAGATTGAAGTAGAAAATATTCACTTTGTGGATCCCTTAACTGTAGGAGAATATGCATTAACTCAATAATTATGTCAGCTCTCTTCATAGACAAGCCATTGATAAAACCTCCATATCAACTAATAGCCCTTCCAAGAAATTTTATCTTTAACGCCGACCTTCCAATTTCAGAACATAACAACCCAATTTTCCAAAAAAAATTACTTCCATCACACAAAGGCAAATTTTTTTCAGTCTTATGAATATTCAATTAAAGATCCAATGTTGGATCATCCTCCCGACTGATGTCAAAGGCTTTAGCCACCTCCTATGAATCACTTACAATAGTCTCATCATCAAGATACCAGATATGATGAAGAAGCTTGCAGTTGTCTCTGACCTTATGACCAAGAAAGTATAACACAAGAGAAAAAATGAGTGACTCTAATAGATCATATTTTTAGACTCCAGTGACTGACATAATATGTCCATCTCCAAATTACATCCTCGTTGTCTGACCATTAAGAAACTCAACCCACAAAGAAATATATGGAAATTTCACCCTTACCTCGCGGAATATGGCTGATCAGCCAACTATGTTGAAAACATTCTAAAAATTTATAATGAACATAACCAAAGAACCATCTCCACGCCGCTTGTTCGACACTCTGTTGACACAATACAAAATGATTTCATCACCACCATATACTTCGAACCTAAATTGGAAGTCATTGAAAATTTTGTCTTATTTTTACCAACTTCATTCAAACAACCTTGGATACAAGACATCTCCAAATGAAACCTACAACAATAGAATGTATTCCACCATCAAATTTTAATAACGACATCAAAGTTGCAAAACGCATAAATCTGTCAAATTTATCAAACATCTTCCTCTTAACCTAAATCATTCATGTAAATATTTTTAAAATAAATAACTAATTTAACAAAAAAAGAAGAAGATAAATGGTCGGTTTGAAACATTAAATTAACTTAAAAGAACTCCTTATTTTATGTGATGGTGATTAAAATAATTGTGTCCAAATTCTAAGAACAAATATGTTACATTGTCAAAAATTGAGGGCAAACTAAGTTGGTAGCTCGGTATGTTATATGGGTTAGTCATACATTTTAAAATGTTAATAATTTGAATGCTTTTAATACCTTAAGTAGACCTTGTTTGTTTTCTTATTTTAATCAAAACCACAATGTATTCAACTACTATATTTTATATTAAATCATTAGCTTTTGACAAAAAAAAAAAAAAAAACTTCTCTAATACAATTTGTTTCTAGTTTCATAACCAAATTGAAAACTAAGTATGCAAATTTATGCTTGGTTTACACTTTGAATGCAACAAGAACTAAAATGATATAAGAGAATATAAGTGGCATGATACAACCAAGATAACATGCATGGTGAGAATTATTGATTAATCCTAAAAGCTTATCTCTCTATCCTTATTTAGTTGGTAGTTAATGTTAATGTAGCAAAGGTTGATGAACTTGTTACACAAAGAGACAATGAGCGTTTCCCACGGTTGCTATGTCGGTTTTTAAACTAGTTATAAGAATATTTTCTGATTCATCCCACGATGTACCAAACCTAATTGTGACTTCAATTTTTTTATTACCTTACACAATTCCTTTGTTTTATTATTATATTCTTGGAGACTCCCACGTTCGTTGTTTATTATCATAAACGCGCATGCTAAGCTCACACCTTAATTCTTCTAACTCCTAACTACATCACTAATTAACTAACATATTTATAACTAATCTTATGAAATAGCAAAGTCGAAGGTCTTAGAATCGAATTCAATCATTATAATGTGGTAATAATGTTAAGTTTTTTAAAGATAACTATCTCTGTGTATTGCGATCATCTCTGTTTTAAAGGATTAGATTTTACAATTGGACGTAATAAATATCTGGTTCATACTAAAAAAAGTTTATTAGCAAAATAGTAATTTCCTTATAAGTCGATTTTATAAAAGGTTGAAAAATAGTTTGGGTCTACTGAACTCACTTGTTTAACATGTTATTTTTTTCCCGCAATGTGACAAGCTTTCGAACATTTAAAATTGTCTTTGAGAGCGTATAAGGTGGATTATCGTAGATAATTCATTTTTTTTACAGCTAAATCATATCTAAATATAATCTCATAAAGTCTTCGTTAGTGTTAAAATGTGGTTATACAGAACTTTTAAAAAAATCTTCAAAAATTAATACAACTCTACAAATGTCTACTCCTTACTTTGACCCCCTCCCTGCCCGTCTCGTTTTGTTTTTAGACAAACTTTGATAGAACAACAAGACATTCATGTTTTTAGACTTTATAATTTTTGTAAGGGTGACAAAACGCATCAAACCGTATGTTTAACCCGCCTTGCCCACTCTCTAATTTGATCGCTCAACTCCGCCATTGTTTAATCCCAAATTATATTTAATATTTATTATCCGATTTTAGAGTAGAACCCAATATAAAAACCTAATAAACTTTACTTAAGTCATCTCTCAATGATTACACTTAGGAACCTCGCTCCTCCCCCCTTGTTTCAACTTTAAGCACAATTTTAAACAAGTCCAATTACAATGTTTAAATTAAAACCATATTAAAGATATATTATTATTGTAAATTATCACAAACTTTGGTCCCATATGAGTTGTCGTTTGCTTTGTATATGGCCCCTTAAGTGGACTTCCCTAAGTTTAGTTACATAGAACAAGGACAAACCCTATACAATAATTACAACTTTAATATTTTCTATTAACAAACTAAGTCAATGCTTATACTAAAAAATTCATTAGGATTTAGTATAAATATCTCCACAACTTTTGATTACCTCAAAGCAAACATTTTTAACTAGCTTTCCAAAAAAAAATATAACCCTTAGGCAATTTTTTTTTGTTCTTAATATTATGGAACTCATAGGATCTTTCCCTGATGGAGAATGGGATTTCTTTAGCAAAATGTTTGCTAGTGAGGATCATGAACACTACTCTCAACAATTTCTTGATCAAAACTCTCTTCTTCTTGATGATGGATTGAACAATGAATCACAATCCACATTTTGCTCCGCGGAAATCGGTGAAAAAGAGTGTATGTTTTATTCTTTTGATCATGCTAATATCTCAAACTCACATTATATTTCTCAATCTCAAGAGAATAGTTATAGTAGCAATTGTAGTGCTAATGATGATACTAATTACTATTTTAGTTATCCTAATCAAGTTCTAGCAAATAATATGAATAGTTCCATTTCCATGGATGAGAAATTTTTTGCTTCTTTCGTCACACCCTTTAATGAGATTGTAATGGAAGAGAATGCGAAATTGAATGAAGATGCTATTGAAAGTGGTAATCATATTTTGGAGAAAAATGATTACATTAATACTCAAATAATCGAAGAACATGTTGGTTTTCCAAACAAGCACTATCTCAAAAGAAAACTTGATGTCATGGAAGTTGAAGTTTCTCGCGAAGAAAAAGTTAACAAATCAGAGAATCCAAAGAAAAAATCTCGTGTCTCAAAAGATGTAAGTTTAAATTTGTATTTAATTTCCTCGTTGTCCATTAGAGATATCAGAAATAATAACCTTTCTTATTTTTTTTCTAATTTTCGTCGTTTTTTCAATCATTAGGGCATGAAAAATGCAAGGTCTAAGAAGAAACTTATTGGTAGCAATGAAGAGGAGAATGAAGAGATTAATAATAGCTCTAGTAGTAACATTTCTGAGGATGAAAATGGTTCTCAAGAAAATAGTGGAGGAACTGCTCTCAACTCAAATGGGAAAACAAGAGCTAGTAGAGGATCAGCAACAGATCCACAAAGTCTCTATGCAAGGGTATTAATTAATCAATTATTTAGCTTTTTATTCATTTTTCTACTTATTTTCATTATATATATTTTTTCATATCAAAACAAAAATTCTGCATATTTATGATACTTATATTTATTCATTTGATTTTGCAGAAAAGAAGAGAGAGAATAAATGAGAGACTAAGAATTCTACAGAATCTTGTACCAAATGGAACAAAGGTAATATTATTTATTTGGTGTAATTCTTGTTTAAATATTGGAATAATATATCATTCAAGAGAATTAATTTTCATGAATGGTTTATACAGGTTGATATAAGTACAATGCTTGAAGAAGCAGTTAATTATGTGAAATTTTTGCAAGTTCAAATCAAGGTATTGATGCATAAATTTTTAATATTTGTTTTTATTTTTAATGAGTAATAAATAATTAACTATTATTATTGTTTTTTCTTAAATGTAGCTTTTGAGTTCTGATGATATGTGGATGTATGCACCACTGGCTTATAATGGACTTGACATTGGACTCAATCTCAATCTCAACGGTTCTTCACTACTATGAGTTTCAAATATTGTTTTAATGTAATAATAATTAAACAGGAAACAAACATTTATATAAATGAAATTGAGGATTTATATATATTTGTATTCTAACTAAGTATTATTGTTGTTGTTGGAGGATGTGAATAAAATAGCAATATCATGCTCAAAGAGAGTAGTGCAATCACTTTTTTCTTTTTTGTTATTAATCACGTGGAGGAGTCTTTTTCTGACTATTGTGAATGGAAGGCATTAAATGATTAAGCAGACATTTATGTTGCTCTAACTTTGGGACTGTCTTATGGTGTGTGAATGAACAATGTAGTAATGAGCTCAAACCTAAAATAATAAGTGATGAATGAATGTGTCTTGTGCTCCTTACATATAAAAAAAGAAATTGTGAATATCTTCTTAGAAAGTATTTATTAATTATAGTTAGGGGAGAAGTTGAAAAGAGTGAAAGCTAATAAATGGATTGTTTTTAATGATAAAATTAGTCTTGTTTATTAGAATGTCTTTATTAATTATAGTTAGTGGAGTAGTTGAAAAGAGTGAAAACTAATAAATAGAGATATAATAGTGAGAAAAAAATAAATGTTGTATTGGTATTGTAAAGAGACGATTATTTTAAAACAGAGAAAAAACGCAAATGAGACGTTTTTTATGAGACAGGAGAAGTAACCACCTATAAGCATAGTAGTACTTGTTTGCAGGGCCGCAAGTGCACGACAATGCAAAATAGTAATTACAAATATTGATGCACAAGGAGATGATTTTGAGTATCGGTTTTTATCCTAACAGGGTATAGCTAAATCGATTTAGACTCACCCTATTGATTATCTAAATTTGAACATTAGAATATCTTTAAAATTTTATAGAAAAGTAGATAAATATGTACAACACCCACTTTTGTGGCATGCATATCTAGACGTGTTTATGACACGGCTAAGCAAATTTCTCAATCGAGTGTGAGTCACCTTGTCACGGCAGGTGCATCACTACACAATCATTTAGAAATCTATGATCCGGTATCGACTCATATTCTTTCAAACTACGATTCTATATGGACTTCATTTGCTTTCACAAATGACACAAATATTTTTAAGTACTCAGATTCTAAAATATAAATATCTATATTTCTCATATATCGTTTTCGGATAAATCAACTGGGGGTCATTGTGAGATAAACTCTCACGGTTCATTGTCCTTATAAAACTACTCACCCATGGTAAGGTAAACAACGATTAAACAAGTAAAAGACAAAACATGCAAAGTAAACAAAATAAAGTGATTGCAAATAAATAACCTAAATAAGAGAAAGCTTGATTAAAATAAAGAAATTCAAAGAAATACAACAATGTTGCAGAAATACAGAGGAAAGTAAAAGAACCAAAACTGAAACTTACAAAGTATGTGAAGTCACAAGTGATCCCCATTTGCATCAAACTCAAGTGCACTACTTATACAAAAAAACTATCAATTAATCACTCATAATTTTGTGCACAATTAATAAAACCCATTAACATTAAGTCTTAGGAAGTTTATATGTAAAAAAGTTGCAAAAACATCTTAAAAACTATTGATTTTGTAATCGTCGGTTGGTGCAACACAGGTGTATCACCAAACTGTGCCAAGTAACACAACTCATGTTAGACGAAACATCTAGCCTGCGTTTCCCTCAGTTTTCTTGTATGGCACGACAACTTTTAGCCAACACGGTCCATGTCAACTGACACGGTCCAACTGTGTTAGCCTCATGTATTTTGTATGGGGAGACTTCCTTTTTGCGCGATCCTTGATCTTTTTCACTCTAGTTGGATCCATTACTCTCTTATTTCCTGAAAACATCAAAAGAACAAAAAAAATGCATGAAATTAAACTAAAACAATGAAAACACACAAGGAAATAGAGAGAAAACAAGTTGGAAACATGATGTAATAATCACTTATCAAACACCCATAAACTTAAATCGTTGTTTATCCTCAAGCAACAAGCTTGCTAAGAAAAAATGGATCAAGCGGTTCATTTATTCAAAAGCTTAAGAGAATGAAATCACCAATACTCATACATGGCTCATTATTTCGAGCGACTAAGGTTTAGGTTCCCATGTACTCATTAACATCAAAGGAATTACAAGAATACAAGACTGTGAAACAAATATAGAAAAAAGTTTCCTATTTCAACTACCTTTCTAACTATGCTTTGGACTTAAGTCTCTTTTTCGATTTTAATTCTCTTTTTCGATTTTAATTCTCTTTTTCGATTTTAATTCTCTTTTGTCTGGACAATTAAATTAATGCAATTTAAATAAGGATAGTCATCACAAACACAAGATCGATCGAGAAATTTGTTTTTTGTTTTCACACCTGATAAGCAACTACTTGCCATCTTTATTTACATATGAAATTACACACTTTTGTGTGTTTATTTAATACCCATTTTGGATTGATGTTGGGATTCAACAATTGTTGGGCTGAATAACTGTGTGAGGATTACCCAACTTAGTAGGTGCAATTTCCTTTTACCGCCATTTTTCATCTCTTTGATGTTTATATTTTTTTTCTCTCAACCGATCATATATGCAGTTTGAATCAAATTTATACCAGACTATCAAAATTAACTACTTGGGAAGTACTTCTCAGATTCTGAAAACTATGGTATAAAATACACGTTAGACTCGTATCCTACTCGAGAATTAGGGTGTTTGGGTAATACTGATTTATAAAATTTCCACGAATTCTTAAACTCAGCCTATTATTCCTTCAAACATATATACTTTCTCGGATATTTCTCAAAGTCAAAAGCTTTTCAGAAAGAAAAAAAGTTAACAACTTGAAAAATGTAAGAGTGAAACATGCAACATATAAACAAACTATCTGAAACAACACATAACACACAAGAAAAAATTATAAAGCAAAATTAAAAATAGAAAAAAGGAATACCCCCCCCCCCCCCCCCCAAAAAAAAAAAACTTATATTAGACATTAGCCTCAATGTTCTAATAAAAGTATAGAGAGGTAAAGAGAAACTCATAAAACACCTCACGGAGGAGGCGTGAAGCGCAACATAAGGTGTTGCAGTGACCTTTGACTTTCATCAATGATGACACCTTACTTTGGTTGCTCAGCCTCTTGTCTTTGCTGCTCCGTCTTCAGATATTCAATCTTCGAATACATATAACCCTACTGGTATTGATAATGACTTGTGTTTCCGGTTTAATGATAGGTAAAGGGTTTGTGAACCAGTATCATCATTAATAGTTGCACCTACAAAATTATTCTCGTGGTCTGTTAAACCCTTTTCATCTGATTATTCATTAATGGGGGCATCCTAGTTAAAAGTATACAACTTGATTCTTTCCACGTCTGCTCTACTTTTATTTTTGCTTGGTATGTAAAACATATGCTTCCCATGCACTATAAATCCATGAGACTCCCCGCCGTGATAAATCATCCCCATATTCACGTGGAATTCCATATCACAACATGATCTACCTATGAGAGAGAGAGAGAGCTTAATGTCGTAATTAAAATGGATACTAACTTGCTGAGCAATTGGGGTAATCAATCCCCCAATCGCTATATCCCTTGTGGGAGAATTAGCAACATGACTTAAAAGCTAACAAGAATGACAATAATATTCATCGAGTAGTCATTTACCATGGCATAGAGGAGGTACAACTCTATAAGGGTAGTACGCCCCATACTGTCACCTCTGGAAAACATAGTGTGCGCCAATACTTTTTGTATGTACCTAACAACGGGCTTCTAAATGCAAGATGCATTGACACTCTTTGCAATATAAGGGGCCTCTCTAGTAATTTGAGCCCAGAATTTGTTTGGCTCAAACTTGTTAGGTAGATGTAAAATGTCCCCTAGGGCCTCTACAGAAAGTTGGTAGTCGGATCTATGCATCTTAAAACTCCGGGTGCCTGTTGTTTTTAATTGAAGCCCGCCGATCAAAGATTCGTCTGATACCTTAAACAAATTAATCTCCAAAGAACACAAGAAGTCCATAATTAGGCAGGCATAAATAGGAAAATCACAATGCATAAGATAATTCAACCCCAAATTATTCAACAATATATCTACCTCAGACTTAAGACCTAGAGCTCCAAAAGTCTCATCATTGGCGTATCGGGTCGGGATGATACGCCTCCGAGAAAGATATTCCTAACTTTTGATGTGCTTTTCCTATGTGAAAACAAAGCCATGAGGATTTTCATTAGAGGATCCACCCTTCTTCTCTTTACTCTTGTTGTCTCGGGTTGCCTTCTTTTGTCACATTTCTTGGGTTCCATTGTTAAAGTTGAAGAAACCTAAGAGATTTTTCAAAGTGTGTGGTTGGGGTTTTTGGTTAAGGTATGTTGTTAGGGTTGGATTTGGTGAATATTTTGTGAGTGGGGTTTGTGTTTTTGTGGGAATAAGGGATTAAAGTTTGAGGCTTTACAATATTTAGCTATGGAGGTTTTAGGGATTTTGAGAGAGAGAATGAGAATGTTGAAGATGATGAGAGGTTATGATTATGTTTAATGAGTGGGGAATTGTTAAAATTATGATTAATTGAGGCGTTTTGGGTGGTGAGATGGTTTTTTATTGGTCAAAATTTTGGCTTGTAGAGTCTTCATAGGAGAGAAATGAAATTTTGGAAAAATCCTAGGGCTGACACAGCCAACCTGTGTCAGTCCCAGTTTTTACTATAGAGCATATGTTTTTGAGGAAAGGGGTGTCTTAGGCTAATATAAGCCATGTCAGCAGATAGCCCGTGTTGGTCTCGGTTTTTACTATAGATACCCATTTTTCTTGAAGTTTCTCCCCTTTTATGTTCTTTTGGGCGCAACCTTTGATTTTTCTCTCAATTTCTTTCCTTTTATACTTCTTTTCAATGAGCTTCTACCCCAAACTTTATTTGATCCTACAAAATTTAGACAAAATATAACAAAAGTTAAATAACAAAAATGTGGACTGCCTCCTACTGAGAGATTTCTTTAACGTCGTTTGAGCTCGACGGTTCCTGAGTGTG